TTGTTGGCTGGCCGGTTGGCTTTTCATCTCCAACCCTTGGTGTGAGTCGGTCTGTCGGTCATGTTCTTGGCTGATTGTTGGTCGGTTGTTCGACCTATGTCTAGGATGGTTCGGGGGTGTTACAAGGGATGTTAAAATGAGAAGCCAATGTCCATTCTTCAGAAATTTATGCAAGAGAAGTACCAAATTCTATATTTATTCTTGTTTGAATGGGTCTGCCTATTGAGAATTTATGCAAGTGTGTGTGCATTTTTTGAATTTGGTACTTGAACCTCATGAGAAGTCTGGTCGTGGATCAAATCCTTTGATGATGGCAGGTTGTCAGAAGAAAGGGAGAGACAAAGAACCAGTCACATAGAGAGTTCTAAGTAGTTTTGAGTGTGAAATAAGGGAAGGCATTGGTTCCTGCTTGCCATTGAAGTAAGGACATGACCCAGGGTTTATGGTCCCTAAAATTGATCATAAGACTCATAAACCCACTCGTCAATCCCTAAGCTGAGGGTAATTGCACTCTTTTCTAAAGTGTAGTTTTATCCCAAGTGGTTTTATGTGCTTAGGTTTTTAATGAGGTAAGTACTCTCAATTTCAAGATTGTCCAAGGATCTTCTATGGTCAAGCTTGAGGGGGAGTGTTGAAATAAAGAAGAGAATAACCAGAAGATTGGAGTTAGTCCATAATCAAAGACAAGTGCATCAAGAAAAATTGATTTTGGTGTTCTTTGTACAGTCTTGCTCCACAAGCAATCATCTTGACCTAAACTGACTTCTAAGACAAGAAAGGAGTTTGGGAGACTGAATATGGACGTTGGAAACCTCTGAGAAGTCAAGTAAACCTGTTTGAATTTAAATAAGTGAGGATGGTTTGAATTAGACAAGAAAAAGTCACATGGGTTACTTTGGAGAAGCAGTTGGACATGTCACTTTCACTTAAGCAGGCTGTGCCAACCTCTCTCATGTCCCTTTCTCCTCATCTGGTTGTGCCTCTCCTTGTCTATATCCTTCTTTGGCCTTTTCCCATTCCTTACAATTATTTGTTTATGTTTCCGTGATTTAATATATGTTTATTGTAAATGATTGTCTATTTAAAGGCTTCACCACTCTTGTAACAAGTTAAAATGAATGAATACAAGTTTTTCTCTAATTTCGTGTGATCTCTCTCCCTTGATTGTGTCTAAGCAATATTCACAATGTAAAGAGTTAAACATTATTGTTTGGAGCCTGCTTTAACTATATCTCTTTAAGGCAACCTAATACTTATAAAACTCAATTTAAACTCTTCTTTATCTTCTTCTTTTAAACTTCATCTTACTGATTCTAATTCCTCTTCATCTTAAGTACACAAATTCAAAGTATTGTGTTACTTGAGAAGGATAGATTCAAACTAGAGATTCTCAGCTTCCAATGACCAATTTACTCTTTAGGATCTTGATTATATTGTAAGCTGTGTGTGTGAGGATTCAACCACAAATTGGTTTTCTCGGATCTTGAATGGTTAATTTCTGTTCTATGCTTGAAGAAGATTCAGTTGTAAGTTAACTGAATACTCACTTAACATAAGATAAACACTCATGAATTCCAACAATACTATCTATTCATATAGTATCAACTAAACTAAAATTTTGTTGGAATTAAAATGTAAAAGATACATGTATAGTGATATACTAAAGAGAGAATTAGGGAAATACCCATAATGGAGACCTTAATTAGTGGTTTGCCCATGATGGGACATAACAACAAGATTTCATACAATTATGATTTGGTTGGACGTTAAAGTCCCTCTTGCATTCTCAAGTCCTCTGCGATGCAATTATTATTCTGACACTCTCTTTCTTCTCCTCTCTTACACTCTCTTTCCATTTCTTATTATATTTCTTTTTCTTCCATATTTTTTCATCAAAATTTTTGTTATTCATTAAAAACTAATTGACACACGAAACAAAATAATTTTTATTCGTTAAAAACTAATTAACACACGAAACAAAGTATTGATTTGTTTAATTACACCACAGATTGAGAAAATCATCATTGCAATATTTTTAAAATCACCGATTGTTAACAAATGTGTTATCTATAACGAATAATGTAAATGTTAATAGATGTGTTAGCTGTTAACAAATACATGTACCAGAGGTGTTAGCTGTTAATAAATTTGTTAACAGTTAATGTCTCTGTTAACACATCTGATACATGTATTTGTTGACAGCTAACAGATCTGTTAACGGCTACAAAAATTGTTAACAGTTAATGTCTCTGTTAACAAATAAATAATGTATAATTTTTCATTTTCCTATCACAATGAGTAAATATAAAAAATCAAAGTTATTCTTCAAAACCACATAGGAAATATATATATATATATATATATATATATATTTTGATTGAGTGAAAAAATATTTAGAAGAGAGAATGACAAAGAGAAAAATGATAGGAGAGTTTGAGAATGGAGAAGAAATGAAATCGAATGAAAGAGAGAGTGTCAGGAAATAGAGTGTCAGGAAAGAGAGTGTCAGGAGAGAGAGTGGTGAGAATAAAATCAGAGAGAGACAAAGGGTCTTTTGGTCACTATAATTAATTCTATCACATCATGTGTATTTGCCTAATTAGAGGTCCAAAAAGGATATGTGAGCAAATAATCTCTATACTAAATGAATATCAGTTGCAATATTTTTTTGGATTTAGATACATTTTTAACTGGGTGTCTATAGAAAGAAAGAATAAGTTACAAAAACAAACTATATAACTCGAATTTGTGGTTTAGGTAAAAAAAAAAAAAAAATTTGTAGTTTAGGTAAAAAAAAAAAAGAAGAATTTGTAGTTTAGGTAAAGCCCTTCTTTACTTACAGCCGTTATGGTGGTATTTGTACGGAACAACTTAAACTATCGCATCTCTATAATATTATTTGAGAAGTCAGTTTCCTATGTGTCGCTCTTACGTTCACTCTCACGATGGTTGATTACACTGATACCCTTAATGAATTAAAATAGTTAAAAACAGTATTATTAATTCTTTTATTTATTTTCCTTTTCAAAGTTTCCAAAAATATATGTAATAAAAAGGAAATTAGTTATAAATTCATAAATTTAAAACGAAAAATATATGTATATATAATATGATTTCATAAAAAAAGAAAAGTTCACAAAATAGCAATAATAAATTTAAAAATATTTTTTAAATAACATTAAAATACACTTTTTAGTAATAAAAATAGTTTATAATTAGTATTATTGAAATTTTTTATTTATTTTCATATATTTAGTTGACTATAATATTTTTCAATTACAGAAAATTATCTATAAATTATATTTCACTTACATAATATTATTTTCAAATACAATCACAATTTTGTGTAATGCTTATTTTTAAGAGATATTAAAACCTAAAAATAAATTTAACAATAAACATCGTTTGATCAAATAATTAACAATTGGTTTAATGAGCTAGATATGTGATATTTTATTATTATTAAATTATATGCTTTCTTAATATTAAATTTTTCTTTTAAATTTTATGTTTTTATGTTTGTGAAATTATATATAACCATAATCAAAATATCAAAGCAAATCTGAATTCCCAATTTTAAAATTATTTAAAATAAATTTTAGTTTACATTCAATAATTCTAAAGCATAAAATTATTTAAAATTTATAAATATTTTAATTATTGTAAGTATTGATATGTGTTATGATCTTCTAAAAATGTATCAACTACTTATGCATGTAACATTCTATTGATCATAGGATAACTCAAGAATATTAACAAATGAAAATAAATATTAACCAACTTTTACAATTTTAGTTCTTTTGTAAAATTTATATATATGCATGAGACTTTAGAATATTATCGTTATATTAATTTACGTATTTTGGAATCAGAAACTTTAGTTAATTTTTAATTCATTCTAAGCACAATATATCTTAATTTATACATAATTTTCCTAAAATATATTTATATATCAAAGACAACATCCACTATATGCAAATAAGTGATTAATTAAAAATTAATATATTCTTAAAAATATTACAGTTGAATTTAGATAATCCAATTTATCCAAATGATAACTAAATCAACCGTAAAAACAACAAAATCGATTAAATATAACATATATAAAATTATTGTATAATTAAAGTAATATAATATTTTTAATATAAATGATGCATACAAATTATAAATTAATTTAAAATTAAAACAAAATAGTAATCAATTATTATCATATATTTCCTTTTAAAATATTTATAACCGTGCATGAGCACGGGAAAATCACCTAGTTAAATATAAACAATGTGATTAAATATTAGAGGGAGGCGTTTACCCAATACAACTTAACCCACTCCCCCGACATGATCTCCTTAATCTTTCTTAGAAACTAGATAATTTTATTTTGTCAACTGAAACTATTAGTTTATCATCTAAACAAGATATAGAAAAATACTTCTGAATATCTTAGTAAATTAAAAGTTATAGATAGATGTTACCATATAATTACTATGCCAGCTTTCATATGATTATGAATGGTGTGAGTCATTGATAAACATAAATAAATTTAGTAGTCAAAAGTCATATGAAAAGTAGTCAAGTAAGTTCCATTAATGTTAACGTTACTACATGATTATGCGGTTTAAAATTATTGACCAAGAAACTTTCTATAATGTAAAACCATATGAATATTTTGTTTTGTTTTGGAAAAATGAAAGGGTATGTAACTCTCATTTCATCCTCCTTAGTAATGAAGAATCCAAATAGTCAAGTCAGAATTTTTCTTCTTCTATAGTCAACAAAAAATGTAAATTCAGTGAAAAACAATAAATGGAAGCATTGAAAACCTTATATTATAATCTTAAGCAATAATAATTAGCATTCCAAACAATTTATCTTCATCGCCTCTCCCTTACTTTACAAAATCATCGTGGCTAGTATTTATAGTTAAGTTTCAGGTTAGAAGTTGGGCAAAATCAAACCTCTTCTCCTGTCTCTTATTTTCTTCCTCATCATCGAAGATTAAAATGGGAGATACTATGGGTCACAAGCATCAGGTTTATATCATCTTATATCTTAGTTTTTCTAATGGATAATGTAATTTTACTTTGATCTCATTTTCTATACAGAAATCGTCATTAACCATTCCTTTCTCCTATGACCAAAAACAACAACTTCTTTTCTCCAATACAGATGCAGAAGTTGGTCAAGAACCACAATCATCTTGGCATCGGTGGATTACGTCGTCCCGGTGCACCTCCTCTCAGAGATTTGGTAATTTATTCAAGGATTTTTTTCAATATTTTTATAAAGTGTTTTTCAATATTTTATGAAAACTCATAATTAGAGGAAATATCGTTAGTCTTTCAAATTATGATACATAAGTCGTTTTTATGCCCCAGTAAATTTTGAATTTTTGAGTATTGAATCCTCCATTTCTAAGATAGAAATAATAGAGTCCAATACACCACAGTCAATTTATAAAACTTAGTTTGTGTTACATTTTTCATGTGTTACATTTTTCATGTGAATATTTTAAAAACTCAAAAAACTAACTGTATTATATATTTTTTGTTTGTTATGAAGAACTATAATACATGGCAAAAGCAGCAAACCAATTGGCAAATGAATAAAGGAGAGGACCGAATGCAAGCACTTTTCTTTGTTTCGCCGGGACGTGCATCTTCTGGCACTGGAGTATTTTTTCCGGCCACAGCTTCGCTTCCGCCAACCAAAAAAACAGGTTTTTATTTTATGAATGAAAGATGTGCATAATGTTATCAGTTTGATAGACTAGTAAATATATGATTTGATATTAAAGCTTACTAGGTGATTTTCCCGTGCTTATGCACGGGTATAAATATTTTTAAAGTAAATATATGATAATAATTGATTACTATTTAGTTTTAATTTTCAATTAATTTATAATTTGTATGTATCATTTATATTAATAATATTATATTACTTAATAATGTATTACTTTAATTATACTTTAATTTTATATATGTTATATCTAGTCGATTTTGTTGTGCTTACGGTTGATTTAGTTATCATTTGGATAAATTGGATTGCATCTCTGAATTAAACTGTAATATTTTAAAATATATTAATTTTTTTATTAATTACATATTTGCATATAGTGGGTGTTGTCTTAGATATGTAAATATATTTTAGTAAAATTATGTACAACTTAAGATATATTGTGCTTATAATAAATTTAAAATTAACTAAAGTGTCTGATTCCAAAATACGTAAATTAATATAACGATAATATTCTAAAGTCTCATGCATATATATAAATTTTACAAAAGAACTAAAATTTTAAGAGTTGGTTAATACTTATTTTCATTTGTTAATATGTTTTATGTTATCCTATGATCAATAAAAGGCTACATGCATAAGTAGTTGATACATTTTTGGAACCTCATGAACACATATCAATATTTACAATAATTAAAATATTTATAAATTCTAAATAACTTTATGCTTTAAATTTATTGAATCTAAACTAAAATTTTAAATAATCTTAAAATTGGAAATTCAGATTTGCTTTGGTATTTTGATTATGGTTATATTTAGTTTGACAAACATAAAAATTTAAAATTTAAAATAAAATTTAATATCAAGAAAAAATAATTTTAATAATGATAAAATTATTTGATCAAGCGATGTTTATTATTAAATTTATTTTTTGTTTTTAATATATCTTAAAAATAAGCACTACATAAAATTGTGAATGTATATGAAAATAATATCATATAATTAAAATATAATTTATAGATAATTTTCTATAATTGAAAGATATTATAGTCAATTAATATATGAAAAAATAAAATATTCAATAATACTAATTATAAAATATTTTTATTACTGTAAAAGTATATTTTATGTTATTTAAAAATATTTTTAAATATATTATTACTATTTTGTGAACTTTCTTTTTTTATGAAATCATATTATATATACATATATTTTTTGTTTCCAATTTTTTTTACGACTTGATAAAAAATTTCCTTTTTATTACATATATTTTTTGGAAATTTTTGAAAAGGAATCCAAATAAAAGAATTAATAATACTATTTTAATTATTTTTATTTCATTAAGGGTATTAATGTAATCAACCATCGTGAGAGTTAACGTGAGCGCGACACATATGAAACTGACTTCTCAAATAATATTATAGAGATTTATGAAAAAAGTGAATAGATTATATGGTCACAACTCGCTTCTTTTCCTTCTTTTTATTTGTTCGACCTATTTGAATACATCATGTTAAATATTAAAAAAATCAATTTCAAATATGCTGTTTTTTATGTAGAAGTTGGTGAAGATGATTCGAAGAAGAAGGAGAAGAAGAGCGAAACGGTTGAAACTCCCTTTGATTCGCTGGAGAAACTTCTCCCGGAGGAATGGACTTATTAATGATCTGACCTTGGTGCCGTTGACCAATTTTACTCATTAATGCGAAGAAGTAGAGACGCAGAGTCAAATAAAAAGAAAAGGAAAGATTCTCATGCCGTAATAATAATAACCAAAAATAAGATCAACCCCTTTGTGACTATGAATATTCATAAGACTATCTACAATTGTTTCAAAACCCTCCCCACTTTCAACGCCCTTATTTTTTTGTTTTTAACATTCCAGATCATGTTCTCTTTCTTCCATCTCATTTATTTAACACCCACTTCTTTTTAAATCTTTACAATGATTTATTTTAAAAAATTCAATACCCTACCCCACAATTTTTAATTCATATTTTTTTTTTCTTACAATAATTACATATTAATAATTAAATTAAAAACTACTTTTAATAATATATATTTTAAATTATAATACCTTTATTTTTTTTAATAATACAAAATAAATATTAATAAAACAATTACAATTAAGAATATATTTATTTTTTAGTTAGATTTTTACCTAATTTTATTTTTTTAATACGAAATTAATATTAGTAAAACAAAAAAATTTTAAAAACTTTAAATACACATGATACAAACACACATTATTAAGAAGTTTTAAACACACACGGTACAAAGCAAGCAAAATAAAAATACATAACTTAATTACTACAATATACTCAAAAATATTTAACTCTTAAAGCACACACATAATTTAACCATGAAACATTTCAAATTTTGCCCATATGTGTTTGACCAGATCTGATTGCAATTCATGGTGTACATTTGAATCACATAATTCAGATCTATCACGTACATGATTTGCAAATATTGGTAGCACTTCAGTAGAAAATGGTGTGGAGTACTCGAACCACTTGCCTTAGATTGATCATAGTCGGTCCAGTGCTGAGCATATGTATCTCGTTCATCATCGACAATCATATTATGCAATATGATACATGATCTCATGATGATAGCCAAATCCGATATCTCCCACATGCGAGCTGGTTCACGAATAATTTTGAATCGAGCCTATAATACTCCAAATGCACGTTCGATGTCCTTCCGACATCCTTCTTGATATTTTGCAAATAACTTGTCTGGCGCACTTTGCGGAAGTCGGATTGATTTGACGAAAGTTGGATAAGAAGGATAGATACCATCAGCTAGATAGTAAGCCATATCATACAGACGTTGATTCACGAAAAATTTAACTCTTGGAGTATTTCCTTGTTCAACATCATCAAACAGCGGAGAACGATCTAGAACGGTTATGTCGTTTAATGTTCCTGGACATCCAAAAAATGCATGCCAAATCTATAGATCATGAGAAGCAACTGCTTCAAGTATAATAGTGGTGGTTCCCTTATCTCCTCTAGTAAATTGACCTTCCCACGCTGTTGGACAATTTTTCCACTCCCAATGCATGCAATCAATACTCCTTATCATCCCTGGAAACCCCCGCATTTCACTAACGTGCAAAATTCTTTGAAGGTCCACTTGATTTGGAGCTCTAAGATACTCTTGCTCTTACAGTTGTATGATTCCTTTAGAGAATCGCAGCAAGCACTTCAATGCTGTAGTACCTCCTATTTTGATATATTCATTGACTGCATCAGCTGCAACACCATATGCGAGCATTCGCATGGCAGTGGTACATTTTAAAATGTTAAAATAAACATAAATATAAATTTGGATACCAAAACTATGTATATGTATGTATATTATTTCTGAGTAAAATATTTGATCGCAACCATTCAAGTTTTACAACTTATTAAAATATATATATGTTTGTAGATTATTGTTTTCATAACATATCATCTTAATACTCATATACTTACACAATCATATGAATCCAATCTTACAATACCAAAACGATACTGTGTAAAATTGTGTTATAAATTTTTTTTTATAGTTAAACCATATTCAAATACTCTATTTATTAACAAATACATGGATTTTAAGAATAGAAATTTGTTTTTAAATACATAAACTTTATTTCATCGGAATTCCGTAGGAATATTCCGACGGATTTCCGACGAAACTTGGTATTCCGTCAGAAATTCGTCAGAATATTCTGACGGAATTCCGACGAACTAAATTTAAAATTTTAAAATAAACATAAATATAAATTTGGATACCAAAACTATGTATATGTATGTATATTATTGTTGAGTAAAATATTTGATCGCATTCATTCAAGTTTTACAACTTATTAAAATATATATATATATGTATTTATATTATTGTTTTCATAACATATCATCTTAATACTCATATACTTACACAATCATATGAATCCAATCTTACAATACCAAAACGATATTGTGTAAAATTGTGTTATAAATTTTTTTTTATCGTTAAACCATATTCAAACACTCTATTTATTAAAAAATATATGGATTTTAAGAATAGAATTTTGTTTTTAAATACATAAACTCTATTTCATCGGAAATCCGTAGGAATATTCCGACGGATTTCCGACGAACCTTGGTATTCCGTCAGAATTTCGTCGGAATATTCTGACGGAATTCTGACGAACTAAATTTAAAATGTTAAATTAAACATAAATATAAATTTGGATACCAAAACTATGTATATGTATGTATATTATTGTTGAGTAAAATATTTGATCGCAACCATTCAAGTTTTACAACTTATTAAAATATATATTTGTATGTATATTATTGTTTTCATAACATATCATCTTAATACTCATATACTTACACAATCA